GCAGCTCTACAGCCATACATCGTAAATCAAAAGCATGCCCATGATCGGGTTCAAAGCTAAGCAGTAATTGCAGAGTTCCGCTTCAGAGACTCTAAGACTAAGCCGCGTTCCCGCTCGAGCTTGCGCGAGCTGCTTCGTTTTTTCGAAGGTTTCGCACGATTGGTCGAGCCCGCGATGACGCAGCAGAGATCCAGCAGTGCGGCGAGGAAAGGAACAGCGGCACTCCAATCGCGGCATGAGTTCTACAATGTTCCGCGGGCTAAATGAACCCCAAAAAGTTTCGGTCCATCTACCTTTGTAGAATTATGTAGAGATGACCCTAAACCCCAACCCTAAACCCTAAACCCTAAAAAGGGGTCGACGGTCCCATTTCTAGGGCTTTTTTTCCAGCAGGTTGCCCGCAGGGGAGTGGTCGTGAACATCCTGTCCAAGCAGCCGGCTGCCAAAAGCAAGCCCCGCCCGAGGGCCGCCTGGAAAGCGAAGCTCCTCTACCTATTCCTGTTCTCGGTGCCTTGGGGGGATGCAAAAAAAGTGTTTCAGGGTCTTTATGGAGGGCTACAAAGAGTCTATCACTTGAGAAGTACACAAACCCTTGCGCTGCTACCGCCCCAATTAGTTCCAGTGACCTATCAAAATAGGACCGCCTACCTTGACTGGAACTCCTCCTATCTGACACCCTGTACAGTCCATAAGAATCGGCACAAGCCTGTCTGCCCTAAACCCTAAACCCTAAGCCCTAAGCCCTAAGCCCTAGCCCTAAGCCCTAAACCCTAAACATTAAACCCTAAATAAACCCTATCCTCCCCCTGAAAGGTCGCCGCAGGGGCCTTGTGCTTTTACGTCCGCGACACGCAGGGCCCGGAAGAGTCCGTGAGCGACCGGGAAAGACTAAGTGACTCGGAGCCACGCCCCCCTCGTAGGATGGGTCCTAGGATGCCCAGTAGGCCTCTCATTCCCTTTTCGTTGCGGGGGTGGGGGGGGGTTTAGGACTGCAGGCAAAAACAAAGACCACCCCTGGGATGCCTAGTAGTATTTTTTTTCTGTCGGGGGGAGGGCGGTTTAGGGTTTAGGGTTTAGGGGTTTAGGGGTTTAGGGTTTAGGGGTTTAGGGTTTTAGGGGTTTAGGGTTTTAGTGGTTTAGGGGTTTAGGGGTTTAGGGGTTTAGGGGTTTAGGGGTTTAGGGGGTTTAGGGGTTTAGGGGTTTTGGGTTTTGGGGTTTCGGGTGTAGGGAGATTAAGGGTTTAGGGCAGTTTAGGGTTTAGAGGCCTAGCACTCAGGGAGTTCATCTGGTTTGGACATGCGGAATTAGGGTTTAGGGTATAAGAAGTTCCATTTTTGGAGGAGGGCAACCTGCAACAACAAGAGCCGAGCAAAAAAAGAAAACCAACAGCAAAAAGAAGCGCCATTTGGGGGGGGGGGGGGCTGACTGAGGGTGGCCTAGGGGTATAGAAGGAAACCTAACGCCGCCCCCTAAACCCTAAACCTAGGCGAGCTGATGAAGCCCTGGGCCTCCGGAGTCGGACGGCTTATGGCCGCCCTCTCCGACCCTTTCTCGTGCAAGGCGCAGGACTGAAGAGTGGTAGGGTTTAGGGTTTAGGGTTTAGGGTTTAGGGTTTAGGGTTTAGGGTTTAGGGTTTAGGGTTTAGGGTTTAGGGTTTAGGGTTTATAGGGTTTAGGGTTTAGGGTTTAGGGTTTAGGGTTTAGGGCTTCGGGTTTAGGGTTTAGGGTTTACGGGTTACGGTTTACGGTTTAAAAAGATTTGTTGGTTTAGGGTTGTAGGGTTTTACGGTGTCAGGCGCAGGACAGGGTGCTACGGGGTTCAGGGCTAGTACAGGGCAGGGTTTAGGGCTTAGAGCTTGGGGCTTAGGGCTGAGGGCTTAGGGTTTAGGGTTTAGGCTTTAGGGTTTAGGGTTGTAGGGTTATATGGTTGTAGGGTTGCAGGGTTGTAGGGTTATAGGTTCAGGGTTTAGGATTAGAGGGTTATCTGGGGCAGGGTTAGGGCTTACAGGGTTTAAAGGGCTTAAAGGGTTTCACTGTTTTAGGTGTTTTAAGGAGTTTAAACGGTTTTAAGGGTTTTAAAGGTTTAGGGCTTCAGGTCTTCCTCAAGACACTTTAGGATATACTATAGATATGCAAGAATATGGCTACCACAACAAGGAAACTTGAATTACCACCGTTATAACATCCATATTATCTGTACTTGTGTTGTTTAAGTTCCTGAAAACCAAGCCAAAGGAGCAGAGGGCCAAGGCGTGTGAAAGCACCGTCTCGGCGATCGCGTCGGAGCTGCAGGACATCCTTGCAGAAGATGGGAACCTTCCTCACCCTAAACCCTAAACCCTAAACCCTGCAGGACATCCTTGCGGAAGATGGGCACAGCCGTGCGCGCGTGGAGCAGTGGGAGCGCGAGTACCTGAATCGATCCATGCCTGCCCCTTGGCTTTCTTCTGGCTGGCTTTCAGGACTGTAAACTTTAGGGTTTAGGGTTTAGGGTTTAGGGTCTAGGGTCTAGGGTTTAGGGTTGGCTTTTAGGACTTTAAACTTTGGGTTTAGGGTTTAGGGTTTAGGGTTTAGGGTTTAGGGTTCAGGGTTTAGGGTTTAGGGTTTAGGGTTTAGTAGAAACTACCGTAAGGAGCCTAAAAGTTAAACTTTTCAGGAGGGGTTCAGAAGTCAGCCAAGGCCCCGAGGTCTTGAATTCATCCACAGGCTAACGTCTGCAATGAGACCGAAGAACCAACCATTTCAAGGGTTTAGGGTTTAGGGTTTAGGGTTAGGGTTTAGGGTTTAGCACGTTCGACTTCTTTTGCACGAACGAAGCAGTAGGTACCATCTCTTGCTGTGCCCTTGTGGGCCGTGAGACTAAAGCTTGTACAGGCTGTACGATAAAGCTTGTACAGTACAACACGTTCATCTTGTGTAGTAGTTCAGCGCTCGGCGTTGTTTGTGCCGTGCCCGCCGTTGTCCAGATGTTGCCGCCGTGACAGAGTGCGACCTGGAATCGCGATGAGAAGAGAAGTAGGTGGTTTCAAATGGATTTTGATGAGTCATGAAGGTTGCAGTGTGTGCATATAAGGAGCATCCTGCTGGGGATGCTTTTTTTAAACTAAAGCCATGCCTGTAAGAACGGCAGGGGCATGACAAAGTAGTTTGGGACCTGAACCCCAACTGCCCAAGCTTACTTAGCAGCTGAATGAGTACACTTTCCACTTTTTGGGATACTATAATCCCCTGCAGGACTGAAAGTGCACAGTTTTTTGGGGCTTATGAACGCAGCAACTAAGCCTACAGCTTTGGTTTCACCGGTTAGGGCACCCCTTTAGACCCTATAGAGGCCCCCTAACCTTAGCGGATGAGTAGGTGACCTTCAATGCCTTTTACTTTGCGAGTTCTCAGTTACAACCCCAAGTTAAACATTTCTCCGTCAAAGAAAGCTGAGCCAGCAAGGCAACTCTCAGTCTCCGGACCTCCTAAACTCAAACTGCAAACCTTCGTCTTGTTACCTACACCCTCGGAGGGGAGGGTTCTGGCCGAGGTTTTTTCGGAAATCGCAAGGGTCAGAGTCACGCTATAAACTTCTCGGGTTGTTTCAGCGAGATCTGGTTGCTTCGCGTCGCCGGGGCTGTCGGGGTATTCTTCACGGCTGCCAGGTGACCTTCAGCCGGATGCGCGCCCAACGGGCCACTTTGCCGAAAGCTGCATTCGATTGCGAGCCGCAGTGGGGCTTTCGGTAGGTTTTGCGTTTCCAGAGTTATTGTGGCGTGAGGAGCTGGGGGTGTTGATGTGATGTGTTGTGTGCCCATGTGGCTCCCGGACACTGGCATGCTTGCAATGTTCGGTGTGTGCTTCTTTCCAAAATCTTACATACCTTGGGGTTTTAGGGGGGCGGACGGGGTGAAGGCACCATACAACTGACAACTGTGTGGCCTGCTGGTTTTTGCTCTTCAACTTTTCAACCGGCGCAAAGGACATGACCGTTCCGCCCTTCGATAAGCTCTGGGCACAGGCGCTTTGCTCATTGCCGATGTTTTCGGAACTTGCGTGCTCCTGTGGCCTTTTCCTGTCCTGTACAAGGCCAATATGAGGTTTCCGGCTTGAAATATTGAACCCCGAACCCTAAACCCTAAGCCCTCAACCCTAAAACCTAAGCCCTAAACCCTAAACCCCAAACCCTAAACCCTAAACTCTAAACCCTAAACCCTACAATGTTCCCTAAGTAGCTCCCGCCGTTAATGCAGCTGATTTTTCACCTACTCGAAGTCCCCTCATGGCACCCCCTTTCTGCTGCGCAGGATGACATCGTCTGCCATCCGCTGATTCTTGCGCTGTTGGTCGGGGCCTCGCGCCTTCGACCCAATAACTTCGAAGCGAGCCGGACTGCGTGAGTCATGGGTTTGGAAAGTCTAGGGTTTAGGGTTAGGGTTTAGGGTTTAAGGTTCGGGGTTCAATATCTGGCTTCGAGGCCGTTGCCACCGCGTTTTACTTCCCTTTCATTCCCATTCCTTGTTGAAGCATTCAGATAATTCACGTTCTCTCTGGGCCCCCCATGCCCAAAGTGTAGACCTCGGAGGTAGGATCACTTGCGTACTAGGAATCCCAATGCGCCTACATGAGAAGCTCTTCCACCAGCGTTTGGCAAACCGAAGACCGAAGGGTCAGACCTTGTTCCCCCAGGCTCGGTATCTGCGAAACAGCACCAACATGAGCGAGGAGAAGGTGCACTGATTCATGACCTTATTTTTTGGAATTGTAGAGGGATTTCCGCAGAAGGAAGTGCTTGGAATTTGCAGCTTTTTCGAGGCAAAGGGAGCTATAGTTTTGATGTTCAGGGTGACTAGATATTGCTGGGTCTGGTTGACGCATGGAATATCAGCTAGCCGGTTGGCCCTTTTGCTCGGTCCCCAAGAGTTGATTAGTAGACCAACTCAGACCAACTCACACGTGCGTTTTAGCTGAAAGCTCTGTATAATGGACGTACCTCGACAGTTGGAGTGTTGAACAGCGATGCTTGCTCACTCGCTCATTCTTCGAGCAGAGCAACTTGTTCGAAGAAGTTTCCGAGTGCGCCCCGCGCGAGCGGCGCTCTTTCCTGTGGAGTCTGGGGCTCTCGCGATTGCAACCTCGCAGCTCCGCTGGTCTTCTGAGGCATCACAACGCAATGCAGTTGGAAATGCATCGCCTTTCGTAGCAAAGTCGTGTGACGCCCTGGATGTTGTGATGAACAAAAACAGGGAGCTCCGCACCCTTCTAAAGACATTAAGCTGGCCACAGTTGATGTCCTTTGAAGCACATGGCAAGACATACAGCTTGCCTTGTCATCAAGCAGAGCTGTCCTCACACGCTGGAGGCCTGTCCGTGCCACGTAGATTGAAGTACTTGGCTGGCTTCTTCGATGGCGATGGATGTGTTCGTCCCAATGGTTTGTCTGGGTGTTCTTTGGCGATAGGCCAGTCTATCAATCATGCTGGGGTCCTCCTGTTGTTCCTCGATATGTTCGGCGGGCGTGTGCGTCGCCACACTCCCGGAGTTGGATTGTGCCGGCCGATGTTGAGATGGGAAGTAGGTGGCCCCAACGCTAGCCACGCTGCCCGCCTTCTAGCACCATATAGCATCGTCAAGAGGCAGCAGCTGCGCCTGGCAGGTGCATGGCCACAGGACAAGCTCCGAAGGCAACAATTCAATAAGGAGTTGCAAGGCTTGAAGCGGTGCGACTCTGCAGTGGTGGGCCATTGTACTATGGAGTACATTGCTGGGTTCTTCGATGCAGAAGGGTATGTGCAGCAGCAAGCTACCCGAACGAGTCTTTCTTTGACAATTAGCCAGAAATACGTCACGGTACTTGAGTGCTTGAAAGACAGCTTGGCACACTGCCTCAGTCTGGATGTTCAGATTTATCCTTTGGATTCCAGCTACCGTTTAGTCGTATCCCGAACTTCTGCTTGCAAACTGTTGCTGCAAGAAATGCTGGCAGCAGGCCTGTTCTGCAAAGCACAGCAAGCAGAACTTGCCCTAAGCCTGGTTCCTCAGAATGCAACGCAGGTACGTGAAGCGTTGGCAGACCAGGTCGGCAACCAAAACTTTGGCAAGAGGCTTGACGAGGACGGTTCACGCAGAGCTCGAGAGATTGTTTCCGCCAACCGGAAGGCGGCACGCTTAAAACGAAGAGGAGAGTTGTGCCAAGCGGAGTCCAAGTTGCACGAGGCTGAAGTCCTCAAGCAGAAGCACAAACTGCTCAAGGCGCTCCACGAGAACCAGCAGCTCCATGACTACGCGTGCAAGCTTCGAAGTGTGCGACGCTTGCCGACCTCCGAGCCGCAGGTTGCAGAGCCAAAGGAAAAGTGCCTGCACACATAAACTGCAACACGAACTGTATGATGTAACCCATAAAGAGACGGTTTCGGGAATTTATGGAAACCGTCTTACGTCCAAATTTCCTAAGCACCCTACAGTACGACGCTTCGTAGCCATCAAAACCAAAAACCGCACACGGCTGCAACGCACCACGTCACATCAGGCTATGAAGAAGGTATTCAAAGCACTTGTGCGTTCTGACAGCCTGCGTACACCTTGTAGTCTTCTTGGATCTCCACTCTTTGAGATCCCTGAAGCCCGAAACCCCACTATCCCGATACCCTAAAGCCCCTGTCAAGCCCTAAGCCTCACAGAAACCCTAAGTCCTGCAAGTGGGCCCGCCCCCTCTCCAAACCTCAAGGGCTTTGGACTCCTAGTATGCAAGGGTTAGGGTTATGTGTCTAGGTTGATAGGGCGTAAGGAAGTAAATCTGAACTCCGAACCCGAGACCGAGACTGGACGGAAGGCCTCTGAGATGACTTTCGCCCACTGGCTGGGCGCCGGTGGGGACATCGAGGCACCCAGGGTACCACTCGAGTAGTTCGAAGCTTCAGGGCCAACATCTACGACAGCTACAAGCACAGAACAAAAGTGAACGAATGGTGTGTGTTTTAACATGTTTTTGTAGCAAGTGCACATGCTGGTACAGTTTCTCACGAAAGAGGTGTCTTTTGTGCGCACGAGTTCGTTTGTTTTTTTGCTTGCTGCTCCTCAGGTCAGGTTGTAGATTCCGCCTGAGGCTTACACCAAGAGTCCAATGGGAAGAAGGAAGAAGGGAACTGATTTGGCCTGAGTTTCCAGATTGAAAGTCAGTTGCCTCTAGTTTCGATGATGCGGACCTGTACCTAGCGAGGGTTGAATAAGCTCCCTAAGAGATTATTTTCAGTCAGTACTTGGGGTGCTAGGAAGGGGGGGGGGAGCTTTTGCATGAATGACCTTTGCCTAAGCTTATAACCTGGAATTGTGGTAATCACTGGGGCCGATGTCAGGAATTATTTCTGTGATTTAGGTGTGTGTTTTTTTGTGCTTGGCATGTGTGAAAAATCTGTACCTGTGCCTGCATGGGGTTTCGAATCTGCGAAAAATCTGTGAAAATGTGTGAAAAAGTGTGAAAAATCTGTGAAACATCTGTGAAAAATCTGTGCTTCCCCCTTGTCCGACTCCCCCGCCCGCTCTCCCCACCCCCCCACAAAAAGAGAGCAGGTCACAAAAACAACACAAAGATAGCGCAGATTTATCACATAATCAATGTTGGCCTCCTAGCAATTCGCAGATAAAGCAAAGATGCAAAAGACCAAAAAACACAAAATAAATAATTCCTGAAAGCCAGCCTTTACCACAAAATCCAGGTTTCAAGCCTAAGCATGCGTTCAACTACTGGTGCTGCGGCAACTCGTAAGGTACTGTAAAGCTTCAAGTAGAGTCGAATGCCCTGCAAGGAGTTCACTTCGGGACAGTCGAGTGCCGGAGTACCAGAGTGCAAGCCTCAGCTTGCTGCTGAGAAAAATCTCTGTCTGTCTGTCTCTCTCTCTCTCGTTCTCTCTCTCTCTCTCTCTCTCTCTCTCTCTGTCTCTCTCTCTCTCTCTTACTGGAAAGCGACCAAGCAAAGGTTGGCAATCTGAAGAGCCAGCCCTAAACCCTCAACCCCTATAGGAAATCTTAACCCTAAAAGCCAGCCTTAAGCCCTTCGTTCTGAAACCGTGCTACGCTGCCCTGTGCCCAAAGAAGCTTGAAACCCTTCGGCCCTTCCCAGGCTGGATCTCTTGGTGGTGGTGGACACCCCTGCAGTGGGAACCCAAGAGCTGACGTAGCGTCAAAATTGTTGCTCCGCTAGGTTTTCATTGCAACGCATTCGGCTCAGAGACTTTCGCAGGATTCATGTGAAAGGTTTGGCAGGGTTGTTTCCGTGCTTTGTGCTGCTACCTCCTGGTAACTCCTGCTAACAGTTCCGGCATGATTGTGTAAACTGCAACTGCCTCAAGGTACTGCCCACCTCACATCTCTATCTCGACAGCTTTAGTGTAGTGCTGTTGGGACCCTGAAACCCTGAAACCAGAATCATTTGTCTCCTGGGGCACATGTTCAAACATCCTTCCGCCATGATCCTGGCTCGCTCAGGGAGCACCGGCGCAGACGCGGCACAGGCTCTACCAGGGGGGGAAGGGGCAAGCCGTCATGTGTAGGCCTGCTTCAACCTGGCAGTGAGGAGGCTATTGTCACCAGGCAGTGGAAAAGCCAGGTTCCTTCAACAGTTCCAGCGACCCCTCAATCTCAGACCCGCAAAGTTGACAAGTTCCCAACCGCAGTAGCACCTAAGTTTTTGGTCGATAAGAGCTAAACCTGCAGACCGTCAGGCCCTAAGCTCCAGAATTGCTTTTAATCCTACTCTCCGAAACCTTGAACCTCCTAAACCCATAACCCCGAAACCTAAACTCCTAAACCCTGAACACAACCCCAGTTGATCACCCGAGCCATCTTCTAACTGCTGTGCCTCAACCCTACACAGTGGGCCCTTTGGAGATAGGTGAGATAGTTGAGATAGGGAGTTGGTTTTAAGTGAGTTACAAGTCACTTAGGGAGGGTCTAAGTCGTTTCTATCTCTATCTGGAGATACCATCTTCGTGCAAAGATAGGGAAAGATAAACGAGATAGAACAGACTTAGAAAAGATAGGTGCGGCAAAGTGCGGCAAAGCGGCAGCGGCCGCCGGGAGATAAAACAAAAATAAAAAAAATAAAAAAAAATAAAAAAAAATAAAAAAAATAAAAAGTTACATCCCGGAGATAAAAAAAATAAAAAAAATAAAAAAAGATAGAGGGGCTTCGTTTTGGCATACAAACGGCAACATAGACTGTGCGCAGGACAGCATGACATCATGTTCCGGAGTAGAGCATTTCACGCACCGCCTGTGCAAGCAGACGCCTATGTGTGAACATGTTTCTTGCGCACGCAGCTGCTGGGCTCGATGCAGTGTCGTTCGTTTCACGTGTGTGGCAACCAAACAAGTGACGGGTTCCGCCACTGCTGCCGACGCTGCCCGGCTGGTCACACCCGTGGCTGCCTGGAGCGCTCCCGCGTGCGCACGGAAAGCGTTCCCTGGGCACCCGCACTGCCAAGACGTGCGCGCAGTGAGAGGCGCGCGCGTCGAGCGGCCAGGCAGGTGGTGGACGCAGCGCCGCGCCCGTGTCTCACTTTCGGGTGCGAGCGGCTTGTCCAGCCTCCGCATCGGCACTGTTGTCGTCTATGCCCCGAGCAGCACACGATGCGATGTGGTGATCGCAGCTTCTTTCTGCGCGATGCATCTCTCGTCTTCGTGCCTGCTGAAAGGAGCCCGGAGTTGTCTGTTGGCTTGCTGCCGGCAGGGTCTGTCCGGTTGCTCGCAAACCAGATGACCCACGCAGGTCAGCAGGAGCAGCCGCAGCGCGAGGGTTTCTTGCAGGAGTTGGACTGACGGCGTGGCTCGCTGTTTTGTCCATATAGCAGGGACTCCCACAAGAAGGAGTCGCTGGGTACCATAGACAGAGATGTATACATCTCCGTCTCAACCGGAACAGATCCGGCCGACGCAAAAAGGACGTCGCATGGGAAACGTAAGGTAGAAGCCCATGTCTCAGAGCAACGTCTGTCTGACAGTTCTTGGTGTTTTCCCTAAACCCTATACCTATAAACCCTAAACCTAAAACCCTAAACCCTAAACCCTAAACCCTATACTCTATAAACCCTTTCATATTCGCAGCTTGCTTGCTCAAGACGTGCTGCGGAGAAGCAGCACGAACGGCCACGGCCCGCAACCGCCGCTAGGAGGCGGCCACATTATAGGGTTTCTCTAGAGGGTTTCAGGTGATAGGTATACCTATATATATATATATATATATATATATATATATATATAGGTATCATCCGATATATTTATCTGCATATATAAGGGTATTCAGAGGGGCTGTTCCGGGTAGTACGGGTTTTGGGTTTATAGGGTTTTCGGTTTATAGGGTTTAGGGTGCCGTGTGCAGGCACTGACCGCCCGCCGTGCGGGGACGCTCGTCCGCCGGCTGCGGCTGGCCCGTCAGTTGCAAGGGCGTGTAGCTGCGGCTCGCGTCCGCGCGACGCGTACCGCCGCCGCCGCACCTACTCGAGTCGAAGGACCGTGCTCGCTTCCGCACGGCGCGACGCCGACGGAGGCGTGCCGGGTCGGCAAGTGTGCCGCCGCGACGGTCGCCGGACCAGCGTGCGGAGGAGCTGCCGGGCTCGGGCGCCCTTACGCGACGCTGACCGCAGCCGTAGGGTGGTAAGTGAAACCCCGCGGCTCGTGCAGTGTGAGACCTGTGGCCGTTGGGTTGCCGATACCCAGTGCGCGCGGCAGCAGCACGAGATGTCGCAGCACGCTGTGGCGCGAGTGCTACCGTGACGATGGCCACGCGGACAGTGGCGTGAAGGAGGAGAACGACGAGGAGGAGGAGGGCGCGCTGAAGAAGAAAAAGAAGACGCGCTCCCCGGACGCGCCTGAGCGGAAGGGGCCAAGGGACCCTCGCGACCCGGATCCCGACGGCCACTCGCGGCATCAGGGCAAGGTGCTGACCGATATCTTCGGTATGGCCTTGCAGGCGTTGCAGACCATGAAGTGAAGCGCGCGGCATCCATGGGGCAGCCGCAGCACGCACCCGCGACTGTGCGCTCCTTCCTGCACGCAGGAAGTTGCAGCAGCACGTCGCGGGACTGCAGTGCGCGAGCCCTGGTTGGGTTGCTGCGCGCTCTGGAGACTGTGCGCTCTCTATAGCAGCACGTCCCAGAGCTGCGCGCACCCGTGCGGGTTGCAGCCGCACCTCGCCGGTTCAGTGCGCTCCTCCGTCATGCGGAGTGGTGCAGCACGTTCCGGCAGTCTGCGCTCCGCCCTGACGTGTGCGCTCATGGGCCCTCGTGTCGTCACGGCACGCTCGGCCTCAAGGTCTGGGCTCCTCAGTCCTCGTCTCACTTGCTGCCTGCAAGGACGGCCCGAAGCATGCCGCCGCAGCCGCACAGCCGTAAAAAAGGGCAGGGTGCCCGTTGAAGACTGAACCCTAAACCCGTAGTCCCCATGCCGAAACCCCATGTAAACCCTATACGCACGACACGGGAAATGCCAGACCCGAATCCCCAGCCCTCCTGAAACCCTACATGGCAGTGCGTGTGAGTTGTGCTTGCTGTGTTTTTTTTTTGTGGGGCACGCTGTTTGCTTGCGCAGCTTCTTGGCTCCAGACGTGCGGAAAGCACGAGCTTGCTGAGATGGCGCGCAAGCGCCGCGAGGTGCCCAGGGAAACTTTTGGGCATACAAAACCCAAACCCTAATTAACCCTATAAACCCTAAACCCTAAACCCTAAACTGTATAGGGTTGAGGGTTGAGGGTTTGTGTAAGGGTTTCGCACTCACAGGGTTGAGGGTTTTTATGGGCTTTGGGATTGAGGGTTGTATATATAGGGTTCAGGCTTTGGGGTAGAAGGCTCTGGGTCCAGGGTTCCCGCTGCCCTGTGCAGGACTCCAGTGGCAGTGGCCGTTCGTCCACGCGGTCGGACCGCCGGTCGCCACCAGCGGGGGGCGTGGACCTTCGACCCGCAGCCGGCAGTGCGGCGCGGCGTCCACCGCCGCCGCCTCCGCCGCGCGCGTCGGAGGACCGCGGCCGCTCCCGTGGGTCGCGGCGCGGACACGAGCGCCCCCGCTCGCCAAGTCGCCCGCCCCGACACTCGCCCAACGCGCGGGCGAGACAGCTCCGCGACCAGCTCTTGCAGCGCGCGAACGAGCGCGACCGAGCCTCAGCGGCGCGCGCCAGCAGCAGCCGGGCACCAGACCGTGCGGCTGAGGCGGCTGCGCCGGGCCGCGCGAGCCGTGCGTCCGAGGCAGGACCAAGCCATGCTGGGGACAGGAGCCGTAGCTCCCCGGCACGGTCTGAAGCTCCGCGTCGTGTGGAGTGCACCCAGTGTGGTCGCTGGGTCGCAGACACGCCCTACGCGCGGCAGCAACACGAAATGTCCCAGTACCACTGGGTGGCAGTGTACCGCTGTCAGGGCATGTCACAGGACGCCGCGACCGAAGCTGCCTCGAAGAAGACGAACGACCTGTGGCGCGCGTTCTACAACGAGGACAGCAGCAAGAAGGAGAGCAGGGCGGCCCCGCCCAAAAGTGGGACGAAGACGAGGCGCGGCAGCCGTGGGGGAGGTGGCCGGGAAAAGGTGGGCCCCCCGGAGAAGGGGGTGAAGGAAGAGAAAAGGGGGCGCTCCCCTGACGGCCCCGACAAGGGGCAGAAGAAGGACAAGCGAGACCCGGACCCCGACGGCCCAGGGCCGTCGGGGTTCCAGGGCAGGGTCCTCACCGACCTGTTCAGCATGGCCGTGCAGGCACTGCAGACCATGAAGTGAGTCGGCCGCATCGAGGGGCTGCCCGCAGCACGCGCCCGCGACTGTGCGCTCGTTGCAGCTGCACGTCGCGGGACTGCTGTGCGCGGCAGCTGCGCGCTCCGGCGACTGTGCGCTCCTTCCCCCAGGAAGTCGTAGCAGCACGTCCCGGAGCTGCGCGCGCCCCCTGTGCCATCGGCCAGCAGCACTGTGTCGGTCCTGTGCGCTCCTCCCTTTGCGGAGTGGTAGCTGCACGTTCCGGCACTCTGCGCGGCCCGGATGTATACAGGTGTAGCAGCACCTCCTGCAGCGAACTGTGCGCTCCTCGCTTAGAGTTGTAGCTGCACGTTCGCGCGGAGTGTGCGCTCCCTGTGCGCGGCGTCTCACCTGCTTGCCTCTGAACGGGAGGAGACATGACCGCGGCCTGAGGCCGGCCCGAAGCATGCCGGCGCAAGGCGACCAGAAAAAAGGCAGGGTGCGCGAGGGTTCAGGGTCAAGTTTCTAGGGTCGAGGGTGTCGAAAGGGTTTCGGGTCGAGGGTTTACAGGGTTTAGCTTTTGGGTTGAGGCCGGAGGGTTCGAGTCGAGGGTTTTGAGAAGACTTCTATGAAGATATATATATATATATATCTCTATAAGGGCTGAGGGTTTAGAGTGTCGGGTTTATAGGGTATGTATATATAATATATATATATATATATATACCCTATATATATATCTATATAAACCCTCTACGGCTTATATATATATATATATATCTAATGTCTATATATACATATATATATATATATATAGATATATATATATATATAAACCCTAAACCCTAAACCTTAAACCCTAAACCTTAAACTCTAAACCCTAAACCCTAAACCCTATATAAACCCTAAACCCTAAACCCTAAACCCTAAACCCTATAAACCCTAAACCCTAAACCCTCAACCCTAAACCCTAGAAACCCTATCGACGCAGTGTATAGATACACTGTCTGAGTTGCCACGGCACGTGCGGAGACCGAACCAAGCAGCTGCTGTTCCGCTTTCGGCTCAAGGTCGCAGAGTCGCACCGTTCTGGCCCCACGCGCAGCTTCAGAGTGTCCGGCATGGGAGTCATCGTGGAGCACGTGCGCGCCCTGGCGCAGCTGGGAAGCGTGCTTGGCGCGGAGACCAGTCTCCTGCAGCCGCACATGCAGAAGATAGTGCAGGTGACTATGCGGTCGCCGGACTTGACGGTCGAAGAGAGTCAGGAAGCCACGGCTCTGCTGCGCGAAGCGTCTCTGCCTGAGGACATGAAGACCCGGCTGCGCACTGCGTTTGAAGAGCGCCTGCGCTTGCCGAAAAACACCGGCAAGGCCGTGCGGCAGAACTGGTGCGCGCTGCCTCTGTACTTGCCGCAGGATCTACTCCAGCATCTCATAGGCGAGGATGGCATGTACGTCAAGCTGGACACACTCGTGCAGTACCTCCTCGCAGTCGGTCTCCGGACGCCAACGGAGCCAACGCTCGGCGTCGTGACTGTTCTGTGTAACCTCGGCGCGAAGCCTGCTCTGCTTCACCCGGAAACGGCGCACGAGCTGTTTCTGAAATGCAAGGCACGAGCGCGGACGTATCTCGACAAAGCTGCGCCCTGGACAGGGGAGATGCTCACGGAGCTGCCGCCAGACCCGCGGCAGCTCAAGGCTCCCAACGTCTTCTTCAAGGAGGCGCCCAGGGAGATCGTGATGCCGCCTGTCTTCGCTGACTTCTTGTTGCTGTGCAACTCCCTGCCGCTGCGAGGCAACCACGCGCTGCTGCACAAATCCAGCGGGAGAACACAAAAGACGGCCCGAGCTCAAGCGCCGCAGCCCAGTCAGGTCCCGGCTTTGCTGACATTGCCGCCGGCACCAGCCATGACTGACTTGCAGGCGTCGCGGCCGCTGCTGGCACTGCCTGCACCTCCTGGGGCCGCAGCGCAGGAGTTATGCCCGACCACCGCGATGGCGCCAGTGTTGCAGGTGGAGACCTCATCGACGCCGCTCTTGGCACTTGGCACCGCCGCCGACCCGCCCGCGGCAACTGCTCTCTCGGCATCGGCAAGCCCCTGTTCCCTTCCCGTTGCCGCGTCTACGCCGCAGCCCCGGCCCGGGAAGCGCAGTTTGGCCCAGTGCGTGGAGGATCTCAAGCAGGCGAGAAAGGAGGTGAAGCAAGGCAAGCAGCCAGACACCGCTAGCACGGAACCTTCGCTGCCGCCCAAAAAGGAAGGTCTCGCCGAGAAACCAAGGCGACTTGGCCAGAAGACGGCCCCGGAACCGCGGCCTGTGGCTTCGCCTGCCAGGGTTTCCAGCAAAAAGGGGCCGTCAGGAAAGCAGAAGGCCGTGCCGCCTGTCGAGGCAGCTGCGTTCGACACCAAAGAGGGAGGAGACATGGCGTCGGTGGACGGCCTCTATGTCGTTTACGCGACAGCCAAGAGTTACCTGCTGGCTCTCACTGGCGGCCGAAAGCGGCTCTTGGTGAACATCGATGCCTCCGCGCACAGCAAGCACGCGGAGTGGATCCGCAAGCTGCACGTGCAAGCGGAAAAGAAGAAAGGCGTCCGCTACTGCGACCTGAAGAAGGAGTTGCTCGAGAAGCGAGCAAAGCTCTACGCTCAGGAGAAGAAGCGCTGAGCGGCTGTAGTAGTTAGTTTTTTAGTTTCCTGCAGCCCAGCTTCGGGCATTAAAATTCGGCGCCTCGCTGCTGTGCTCACAGCGCCCGCCGCTTCCCATCTCAGCCGAGCACAAGAACTCTGAGAAGCTATATCGCTCCTGCAAGAAAGCCGCCCTTGCTGTGGCGCTCAGGTCTGCGGTCCGTCCAGGGAGGGGCTGCTGTGTACGCTTTGTGTCTGCTTTGCAGAGGCTTTAGGTCGAAAGCAGTCCTGCTGAAGTAGATGCCCCTTGGTGCTGGTGCTATAGACATAAGGTAGACATAGAAGGGTCTCGGCTCTGGGATGCAGCTCCGGACCAGCAGCTCGATAGGGTCGCTCTCTCCCAGTCTCTGGGCTGTAGTTCTCGAGCAGCAGGCCGACTACAGAGTCGCTCTCTCCCGCTCCCGGCCTGCCGCTCCCAGAGAGACTGCAGGGAAGCAGGCACTACACACACTACCTGGCACTACGGCCCAAGCCGGGGCCAGAGTAGTGGAGAGCCTCGGGCACTACCACCCTAGAGCCTCTGCCCCAGTCCCAGGCACTACCCCACACTACGCCGCACTACTGCTCACTACGACCCCCCACCGGGCCCCAAATAGTGTGCAGGAAGTCTTCCAGCTAGGCCGAAACTACACCCCAGAAGCCTGCAGAACCTTGCTGCCCTGCAGCCAAGAGCTCAAGCTGCACAGCCCACTTCCCTCGCCTGCGCCCTCCCGACAACCCGACATGGCGAGCGCGAGCACCGCAGTGGAGCAGAGCTCGCAGGCTGCTTCTGCTGCAACTGCCCTCTCGCCACCCCCTCTAAAACATGAAGGCTGTAGCCCAAACCCCGAAACCCTGGTAGGCCCCAGCCTCATATAAGGAAGTCCCGTGCTAACCCCCCAGCTAAAGCAGCATAAGGAGACGACGGCGCCGTTGCAGCTGGGCGTGGACGCCTTCCGCGCGCCGGAGACGCCGAAAGTTGTTGCCGTCCAGCAGGACTGCGCAAAGTGTCGCAAGACATTCGTCTTGGAGGAGCTCTACAAGAAGTCCGCGAACAGGTACTTGTGTGCCGGCTGCAACAAGTTGTCTACATTCCTCTGCAGGCTGGACTTGCCGGACACCTTCCGACAGTTGGGGTCGGACGAAATGTGTGCCTTCTTCCGCAACGTTTCCAAGATGCAGAACTCTGACGGAAAACTGAGTCTGCAGAAAGTCAGCACGCAGGTTCAGCTTGCGCTGGAGACTACAGTGGAGAACAGCAGCACGTCCAGCCTGGGCGGCGACTACCTGCCGCTCTCGGTGCTTGCCATGCAGGGCTGGGACCCCAAACTCGTAGAGGCCGCCGGCATCAGGCGCGAGGACCCGAAACTGGGCACCGTCTACAAGATGGAGGTCTTGAGCGAAAAGGTGGCGGAGACCCAGGCTATGAAAAGAAAGGAGAGCACCACGGTCAATATGCGAGCCAGGAAGACGAGGCGCGCCTGTCTGGGTGCAGAGGAGCCGGCGCTGGTGTCGTCGGACGATGAGCATGAAGACAAGGCGGCCAAGAAGGAGCGCCAGCTCCGCGAGAAAGCGCAGCTGAAGACCTTCAAGAAGGACACCGCCACGGCATCCAAGGCCGTCTCCACGCTTGGCCCGCTCGTGCTGCAGGTGAAGGACGAGGCAAAGACGGCGAAGGCAACGCAGCTCCTCACCGAGGCCAAGGACTTCTTGGCTCGCGGGTGCGTGGACGCTGCGCTGTCTTTCGAGCTTGCCCACGTGAACACCGAGGCCAGCCTGCTGCGGACTGAAGCCAAGTCCTCAGCCGCGTCTAAAAAGAAGGCGAAGGCCAAGGCGAAGAACAAGGCCAAGGACGGCAACACCGCCTGCGCTGAGGAGGGGGCGGAGTGAGTCCCCTTCCTGGTCGGCATGTGAGTGGCGCTTGTGTAGCTTCGCTTGAGCGTTTTGCTGTTTAGGCTGCGTAGCATCGCCACGACATCGGCTTTGCTGGCACTTGAACAGCCACCAAGCAATTCGGTGCTGCAGCCAGCCTCCGTGTTACTTCAACGCGCAGGCCTGGCACCGGGACTCTTAAGCCGAGGCATCTCGAAGAAAAACACGCGCCCCCCCCCCCTGTCAGTGGATATATATATATATATATATATATATATATATATACTTCCTATAGCACATCTAGTCCTTGTCTTGCGCGCGGTCCAAATTGAATTCAGACATGTATATATCTGTATAGATATGCGGGTTCTCACGGCCGCCCTCGCTGTGTAAGACATGTTGCGGTCCGCTGCAGTCTTCGGCTCACAGTATCCTTGCGCCGTCAGCTTGGTGCTTCGACACCAGCCTCTCTGGGACCAGGACATGCCCTTGTTCCGAAAAGCCAGCAAGACGGACGAGGGCAGGAAGGTTCGACTCTGGTATGGCTCGCCTGCCAGCGGCATGTACATGGACACGCTCAGCATCGCACAGGCTTTCAGCCTCCAGGCCAATGCCGCAATGGCGTCGACGCTGCTTGGGGAGAACCACGAGAAGAAGTACCGCGTCGGTGGAAGCTACAACCCGTCCGAGACGGCCACGACTGTCAAGTTCGAGGCCCTGTCGCCCGACGGCAAAGGCGCCGTGCCCGGATGCGCGCTACGGGTCGCGCGACTACCGCGCCCGCAGCCTGTCGCCTCCGGCAACGCGGCACGCCAGCCTGTCTTGAAAGCACGGAGCAGCAAGCGTGGTAAACTTGTCGCCAAGCCCACGCCAACCAAGACAGGAAGCGCCACGGCAAGCCTGAGTGAGGATGTTGGCAAGGCCACGCCACCGAAGTCGGCCAGCATGAAGTCGCTCCCATGGAGCCCGGCCTCCAGCTGTTTGCCGGCCACGCAGCCACGGAGTCCGTGGGTTGAGAAGATGCGAGCACGCTGGAAGAAGATGCGCAGGGACGCGTGAAGCCTGCAGGCGCTCTGGGACGGGAACGCCGAGGCACATGTATATATATGGACATGTGAGGCTTTCTATAGCGGCCTTAGCACGGAAGGGTGCGTGGCTGAGGTAAAACCGAACTTGGCATGCTGCGCTGCGCGTCATGTATGCTTCAGCTTTCTACATCTATAGGGAGTCTGCCCTGACTGCCGATGCCTCCGACGCGTGGCTCTTAGCATGCAGACCACTCGCTATACTGAGGCTGCTATACAGAGCCCAGCAATAGAATCGTTTACTCGTGTTACAGTTTCAAAAGAAGTTTTAAGTCTAAGTGAACTCGACATGCAGCGTCTCTTTCTAGTCCGGTGTACATATTAGTGTTTCTATAGACACGCCACACACAGACATGTGTATGTGGAGTAGACGTTGCTTTGCTTGGCCTGCTAGAAAGCCCCTGTGACGCCATGGCCAAGCGCGCGTGCTTCGAGCTGCCGCTCTTCGTCGAGCAGGAACTTCGGTGACGCACGCCGCGGAGAGTGCTGGCGTGTCCTGGCGAGCCATGCGCCGCGGCGTGAAGCGGCTTCTGCCAGATGACATCCTTCAGGATGGTTCCGTTGGGGCAGAATCGTCTGGCCATGGGCAGCGTGCTGCGCCGAGTCACCCAGCTCTGCGAAGCCGCGCCGCGCCTGCCGGAAGCTCTGACCCGCCTGCGCGCAGGCGGCTGCCGGCGCGCCGGCGCTGAGCTTGGCCTTGTTACTTAAACGAGGCTCTTGCCGAGGCATCTCGAAGAGCAAAAAAAGAGGCCCGCCCTGTAAGTGGATATATATATAGTTCCTATATCGAGTCCTTGTCCTGCGCCCAGTCTAAATTGGATTCAGACATGTGTATATCTGTATATAGATATAGGTGTGCGGGTGTTCTCACGGCCGCCCTCGCTGTCTAAGACATGTTGCGGTCCGCTGCAGTCTTCAGCTCACAGTGTCCTTGCGCCGTCAACTTGCTGCTTCTACACCAGCCTCTGTGGGACCGGGACATGCCCTTGTTCCGAAAAGCCAGCAAGACCGACGAGGGCAGGAAGGTTCGGCTCTGGTATGGCTCGCCTGCCAGCGGCTTGTACATGGACACGCTCAGCATCGCACAGGCTTTCAGCCTCCAGGCCAACGCCGCAATGGCGTCGACCCTGCTTGGGGAGAACCACGAGAAGAAGTACCGCGTTGGCGGAAGCTACAACCCATCCGACACGGCCACGACTGTGAAGTTGGAGGCCCTGTCGCCTGAGGGCAAAGGTGGCGAGCCCGGACGCGCGCTACGGGTCGCGGTACTACCGCGCCTGCAGCCTGTCGCCTCGGACAACGCGGCACGCCAGCCTGTCTTGACAGCACGGACCAGCAAGCGTGGCAAACCTGCCAAGGCCACGCCAAAGAAGACAAGAAGCGCCACGGCAAGCCTGACAGGGGATGTTGGCAAGGCCACGCCAGCGAAGTCGGCCAGCATGAAGTCGCTGCCATGGAGCCCTGCCTCCAGCTGTTTGCCGGCCACGCAGCCACGGAGCCCGTGGGTAGAGAAGATGCGAGCACGCTTGAAGAAGGTGCACCGGTGCACATCGGAGGACGCGTGAAGCCTGTGAACGCCGAGGCACATGTGTGTATATATGGACATCAGGGGCTTCCTAGAGCGGCCTTAGCACGGAAGGGGGCGTGGCTGAGGTAAAACTGATATACAAAGGCTGCCATGACTGCCGGCTTTTAGCACGCAGGCCGCTACTGAGGCTGCTATATAGAGAGCCTATAGCAATACAGTCGCTTGCTCGGGTTACTGTTTCAAGAGAAGTTTTGAGTCTACGTGAAGTCGACATGTAGCGTCTATTTCACGTAGTCTGGTGTATATAGTGTTTGTAGACACCCAGTACGTAGACATGCTTGACAGGATCTATCTAGTATACAGACATGTGCATGTAGAGTAGACGTTGCTTTGCCTGGCCTGCTAGAAACCCCCTGTGACGCCATGGGCAAGCGTGCGCGTGTCTTGCCGCGAGCCGCAGCGCACGCTCTTCGTCGAGCTGGAACTTCGGTGACGCACGCCGCAGAGAGTTCTGGCGTGTCCAGGCGAGCCATGCGCTGCGCCGTTAAGCGGCTTGTGCCAGATGACACCTTCAGGCTGGTTCCGCTAGGGGAGGATCGTCTGGCCATTGGCAGCGTGCCGCGCATACTAACCCAGCTCTGCGAAGCCGTGCCACGCCTGGCCGAAGCGCTGAGTTGCGCGCAGGCGGCTGCCGGCGCGCAGCCACTGAGTTTGGTCTTGTCATTTGACGAGGCCACTGCCGGGAACGTGCTGGCCCCTGATCCTCAGAAAAAAAGCTGCATCGTGTACGCGGCCATCAAGGAGCTGGGAACCCAAACGGCTGCACTATGGTGGCCGGTATGCGTGGTGGGGGCGGATACTATGAAGAATCAGCTCCACGGCAATCTGGGGCCTGTTCTGCGGCACTTCGTGCGTTTCGCCGTGACTGACAACATCAAGCAAGGCTTCTTCATCCAGTGGCTAAACTGAAGCTTGCAGTTTTTTTCTTGGCCCTTGTAGAACTTCTCTACTACTATGCCCTTATCTTGAAACCCTATAGGTAATAAATGCCAAGCAAGGTGCAGACAGAGTTTCTTTTTGCGTCTCGTACTAGCCGGTGTGATCGCAGACGGCGAGGCACTGCGGCAGGCACTGAACTGTAAAGGTGCCAGTGGCCTGAAACCCTGTCACTTGTGTAAGAATGTTGTCATGAAAAAGCACGCCCTGGCAAGTGCACAGTGCATGCTCGGCTACACCTGCGACATTTGCTCGACAGACATGCAGTCGTGGGACGCCGTTACAGACCAAGAGCTGTTCCAATTCTGCGATCTGCAGCGTGCACGGCAGGGGGTGGTCTCCGCAAGCCTTTTTGCTGAAGAGGAGACTCTCAGCGGCATAGTGTACAGCCCCGAAGGCATCCTGCAGGACGCCTTCGCAAGGACCCGGTTTTGTTTTGAATTTGTTGTTGACATTTTTTCAAGCTCAGTGCGTTCAAGGGTTGAGGGTTAATATAGGTTCCAACTTCTATATATGGTTTATAAGGTCTATAGAGACTTCTCAGGGTCGGGAGCCTCTGTGTAGAGAACACTTCGATGCTGAAACCACTTGCAGCAGGAGACTTCTCCCGCCCAGCAAGTGGATGTTTGACTTCCTCCACATCTATTACACGGCAGGCGGATGTGCAGCTCTCGAGATATCCGCCATCCTCCGTGCAGCAGAGACATGTCTGCAGCAGGGCCCCGAGGACTTTGCGTCCCTTCTACGTGAACTGCCCTGGCAGGTGCCCGGGCACGTCTTGGGCCTGCAAGGTCCTGCTGCAAGAGCCCGCCTGTTGCACTCCTCGCGCTTCCCGGACAAGTCCTACAAGGGCAAGGCAGCCCATGTCATGCAGCTGCTTCCCATCATCCCTTGTCTGTGCGAGCTCTTAGATGAAGAGAACAAACTGCAGCAGTATCTCTCGAGCTTCGAGGCCCTGCTTGAGACTCACAGAGAACTGCGCAGACTCGCACGACAGGGCGGAATCATGGAAACGTCTCGCCTACAGGATCTCCAGCGCAGGCACCAGGCCCTCTTTCTGGCTGCATATCAGGACGACCTGCTCAAACCAAAGCATCACTGGAGGCATCACGCAGCACAGCAAATCGCGGCCTGGGGTGCCTACATCGATACAAGCGCGTGCGAGGCAAAGCACCAGGTGTACAAAGGAGCCGCCAACAAAAATATGGACGTCCTGGTGTCCTCTCCTGACTGGTCCAAAGCCGTGCTGACGCGCATGCTTTGCACGTGCTTCGAACAGCTGGAGACACACTTCGACAACCGTGCCCGCACCAGCTCTGGGCAGGAGAGGCAATTCGCTTGGGGCCAGCAGACCTTGCGGACCTTCAGCCAGGTCCAGTGGCAGGGACTCCACTGGAAAAAAGGGGACTTCCAGCTGGCGCCTTTCCCTGGCATGGTCCTGCACTGCTGTTTAAACTCAGGAGACAAGCCTTTTCTTCTGCTCGAGGAGTACCAGCTGGAGGAAAAGCAGCGCTTCAGCGGTCTCTTTCGGGCAACACGTAGGATGCGAACCTTGCAGGATCTGCCCAGTTCTCACCTAGCTTCATGGTGGCTCGTCGAAGAAGCCGGTCTCGTGCGAGCTGTGCGTTAAAAAAGTGTGCAGCTGTCCACATTGCAGCACAAGACCTCTATATGAAACAGGCCTCTATATGTACTTCTTGCGCATCCGCTCTGTTATGATTTTTCTATCTTTTTTCCTTCAAAAAAGATAGGAAAAGATAAAAAAAAAAATAAAAAAAGATAGGGAAGATACAAAATGAAATAAAAAAAATAAAAAAAAATAAAAAAAAATAGAAAAAACAAATAAGGACTTAGGCTATCTCCATTCTTTTTTTTTTATCTCCCCTATCTCTTTCTTTCTCAACTATCTCAAAGGGCCCACTGTGTAGAACAGGGATACCATCCTACCTGGGCCCTGCGCCTCCCTGGGCGTGCCGCAGCCCAAGCCCGGCCTACGCGAATAGTTCAGTAAGTTTAGTGTTTTTTCCGGGGTTAAAGGGTTAAGGGCTTTTAGGTCTTAGGATTTAGGGTTTTAGAGGGGTCTGTAAGTTTAGGGCTTTGGAGCAAGTTTATCCGGCTTTAGGGCTTTGGGGGTTTGAGGGTTTCGGATCTTTCAGTTCTTGGGCTTTAGGGCTTGTGTTTTTGGGCTGCAGGTTCAGCAGAGTGAAAGGCTAGGGTGTCGACAGGCTTCTAAAGATAGATTGTGAACCCTACAAGCCCTGCAACTGTTGGGTTTCATTGCTTTCGGTTTCGGCTTCCAGGGTTCAGGGTTTAGGGTTTGAATTGAAGCTTGGGACATTGCAATCAGGCGTTGCTCGCGTTCTCTGGTGTACAGATGCCTGCAAGCTGCGTTAGGGGCCCTAGCAGCTACACTCAATCTTGAGCTTCCTTGTTTGTGTTCGCACGCCTTCAGAGACTTGGCAGAGCCCCTTTGTTGGGGCTCAGGGAGTTAGCGTAACCCGCGACCTCGACAAGGATGGCTTTCTTTTAGTCTGTCTGAGGAGTGACATGGGCTGCACGCCTACGTTTAGACCGCTTCCGAGCGTCTAACCCTCAAACCCCCAACAACCCCAAATCCCTGACACCCTTATCCCTGGGTTTCCTTGAGCCTGTGATTGCCGTCGCGCAACCGGTTTGAGGCACATCCCACTCACCCAGATGCAGGCCAGGTGGGGACACTGTGGAGGGCCCCACAAAACCTAGCATAGCAAGCCTCGGGGCCACAGGGTCTGAAGTATGTGGGAGCAAATGGTGTCGGTGTTGGGCGTTTTGGGTCGTAGCTGCTTCCGGGGCACTGTTATCCTCGACACTCGGGGGTTGGGCTGAGGATTGGTAGAGATGAGTCTCGCTTGAATTCGAAGAATGGCCTGGCAAGACCTGTATGTTTACGCTTCCGAACATCAAGCCCGCCCATGTGTCCGATAAAAAGAACCAACCGATACTCAGTCCTGACAAGCATGCATCCGCAGGCCGAGCCGTTGAACGGGGCCATTGGCTTCTTCCCAGGCACGAATTTCAAGCAACCAGTGGGCCAACTTTGCTTTAAACTTTCGCAAAGCTTCCGCACATCGTGTGCACATGTTCTCCTGTCCTTTCTAACTGACAATGCCAATGGCGTGTTTGCTAAGCGTTCCCGAGTTCAGTTGAGGGTAGGGGCATACGTTGTGGAGTTAGGTGAATTCATGAGATCAGGGTTGACACGCGAACCCAGCTATATGTCGGACCTACCCACGAGATCTGCACACGACATCTGCACGTGTCTGTGCCACGCAGCACCTTGTCTTCTCACAGCGGTCCTCTTCCTGCCCTTCTCCCCACAGTCGCAATGAACCCTTCCATGTCGGAAGGTTCGCACGTCCTCAAGGGTGAAATCTCCGGGACGAAGTCTGAGGACTGCCTGGCCATGACATACCCGAACTCGGTAGGCCCTTGGGACATGTTATATTTACCCTTATTGGGGGTTCAAGAGGACCATGTTTAGGAATGGGAAAAGGGCCATCCTGGTTAAAGATTGAATGCTCCTGAACAAAGCCCATTGCTTGAGAACGCTCCATTTCTGAAGTTGACTTTGGGGTTCGTGTATCCCTAAATATAGTTGGCCGTTACAAAGGTCACTAGCGCCTAGGCCAACAATGAGATCGCTGGAGGTGTGGGGTGAGAGTTCTCAGCGCACAGTCCCCAAACTCACCAACCTCGAAGACAGTTGATCTCCGTGCACAGCTCTGGATGCTTGCGATCCCTCACCTGAACCCTATACATCTTGTACATGCACCCCTAGACCCTTGCATGTCGGGGGCCTAAAAAAAGGGTTGCTGGAGCCTTTGAGTATGAAATTGATAAGTCCCTGGAAGTACTTGGTGGTTCAGGGTACTTCTAACCCCAATTATAACTGTACTTACAAGCACCCTAAGTCCTCTAATTAGCTTGTAAGTAGACTTATAATTGGGTTCAGAAGTACCCTAACCCTAAACCCTAAACCCTACACCCTAAACCCTAAACCCCAAAACCCTAAACCCTAATTGGGGTTCCAAGGTATACAGTACCAGTTTGCGAATTGCCTCCAGGAGCTCGTGGGCGCCGCCGCGCGCTCAGATCGCCCGATGTTTGCCCGCGCAGCTTTGCTTCGAGGGGTTGAGGGTTTATAGGGTTTATAGGGTTTATAGGGTTTATAGGGTTTATAGGGTTTATAGGGTTTATAGGGTTTATAGGGTTTATAGGGTTTATAGGGTTTATAGGGTTTGTAGGGTTTGTAGGGTTTGTAGGGTTTGTAGGGTTTGTAGGGTTTATAGGGTTTATAGGGTTTATAGGGTGTTTAGGGTGTTTAGGGTTTAGGGTACTTTAGGGTTTAGGGTTAAGGGTTTATAGGGTTTAGTGTTCAGGGTTGAGGGTTGAGGGAATTTAGAGGCAAGTCAAAGCACACCTAAGCAGAAGCTTCTTCGGGAGTATCCGCTACGCAATAGCATATCTTGATGTAAACGTTCTGTTTTGGGCCCGTAGGTGGGGGCCTATGGGCGGATGCCGGCTCGGCCCTCCCCAAGCCCCACAGTACAATAGTAATAGTCGTTGAAGGATCGTCCTGATGGCCTCCTATAACTAGGTCCACGGCTCCTGTGATCCTTCAAACCCTGCCCTGACATGATACCTTGAACACTCCAATCCGCATGCCTCAAAGCCACGAGGCGGAAGCCTATCGCCTTCCCCGAAACCTAAAGCCCTACACACCCTACCCGAAGGATGCATGCACCAGTATACTGTATACTTGGGCTTTAAAGGGGTTCCTAGGAAGTAGCTTTACGGCCTAAGTGTACATGGGTAAACCCTAAACCTTGAAGCGCAAATCAGTCCGCACCCGGCTCCGTGATCCTCTACGACTCCTTCACCGAGCACCATGGGTCCGATCCCCAGAAATCCCTGCACCCCAAGCTCTGCAAAGCACAGTATGCCAAGCTCGCACCAGCAGGAATCTCGTCTGCGTTGCCGAACCGCACAGGAACGAGCCTAAACCTAGCCATTTAAAATAATAAGATCTCCTAAGCCCAGTAACCATGTGCAGGGAACTCTCACAGAATGCACAAGGCGCACAAGTGGATCGAAGATGTGGTCTTGAGGTGTACGGCTTGTGGGGTTAAAGTTTAGGAGTTGAGCGTTTTGCCTACAGGCCCCAAACCCTCGAACCTGGACCCTCAGTTGTTTACTACCGTGAGCCCCCGGTGCAGCAACTCTGATGCCCCAAGCGTTGTACAGAAAGCCCCTAGAAGCCCTCCCATTCCCCCCCCCAAGAAGCAGGAAGTAAAAGCAACCAAGTGTAACACAACTTAGAGACTGCAGAAGTTGTGGCATGGGGGTTTAGGGTTGGGGTCCACAGGACGTCATGCCTCGCTCGCAGCTGCTTATTCCGCAGGGATTCCCCCCACCCCCTAAACCCTCCACCCTGAACCCTGAACCCTAAACCCTAAACCGCACAAACCCCTGCCGCCCGAGCACCACACAGTGCACGCAAGAACCGACAGCCACCAGCGCCTCAGCACATGGCCTACATAGCTCCTGGCCGGAACCACAAGGGCTTTGAGTTTGGGGGGTTTAGGGTTTAGGCTTTAGGCTTTAGGCTTTGGGGTTTGAAATAGGCAGCCACAGAATTGCAAGTACGTGCATGGCAAAAGGCCCCCAGCAATAGCCATCCTTGCGCTTGCCATGGACTGGGATCGTCTCGATTGGCTCCTCGCACCCGTCCTTGTTGGGTGACGCGGCGGAAACATGGGGAAGCGTAGGTTTTGGGTTTAGGGTTTATAGGGCTTAGGGTTTAGGGTTTACGGCTTCTACAAGCTAGCATGGGAAAGAGGGGTTAGGTTGTTGATCCTGACTGTTGCAAAGCTGCTGCTCAAAGAACCCAAATAAAACCCTAAGGCTCTAGCTCGAGCCCAAGCAAGTGCCAGCATCCCTCTGGACAGAGGACCCCGGGGCACAAAGAGTTAACCCTTATGCCCATAGTCCCATGGTTCAACTTAGGCCGTATCTAGGCTTCCAAACACCAAGGCCCAGGAAATCTCATGGGGCTTGAGTTTAGGCTGTATTTTCATGTTCAATCAAGTGTGTGTCTTCGTGTGGAGAGCAGTCGAAGCAGCATAAAAGTCAAAGTGTGGTCAATTTCCGTCTTCCGACACTTGTCCCGAATGCCGCCCATGACGCTCTGCAGATTCTTGCCCGAAAGGCTGGTGATCATTCTGGCCGCGCGTGCTGCTTGGATTGATTGCAGGTCAGGAGCACCCTAAACCATATGAGCTTGTCTGTCCATCGGAATCATGACTTCATCCGCTAGGCCAGACCCTCTTCCCACTGCAAAGGGTCAACCCCGATCCCCCCTGTTTATCAGCGACCTCAACCCTTAACTCCTCCAGGGAAGGGGTGTTCAGAAAAACAAGAACATAAGGAACAACTATAAGCTCTACTTAGCACAGCACAAAGGGGGTCCTTCCCTGTATCAGCCCCCCTGGTTCTTAGTAGGGAATGAGGGACTTAGCCCCCCATATGTACCCTTTAAGGGATTATGTAGGGTACCTCATTCCCTCACTCCCTACCAAGAACCAGCCATGTGGACCAGCCACACCCTAAATCCTAAACCCTAAACCCTAAAGCCCTGCATCAACCACAGGTTACTGGCTTCTGGTGGTGTTTGGCCTACCTTTTGCTGTCCACACTCGCTGTGGCCCTCCTCCATGCCCGGAACTCGGACTCTTTCCCTAGGGGTCCATGTACCAGTATGCTATCTTCTGAGGCCCGAAACCCGACTCAAATCCGACAGCTGCTAGATAGGAGCCCCTTGAGTGCCCAAGTGTGTACTGTTACATGGGTCCTGGGAGTTACAGATCCTGCGGTAGTAGCGCTTTAGACTTGACATCTAAAGCCAGCATAGCCGAAGTAGACCAAGAAAGCCCTATTGCATGACTAAAGCCTCCGCAAGCTCTAGGTCCCAAACCCCTACCTAAACCTTCCAAAGTATGAAAAACAATGGTCCTTGTATAGGCTTTGCATACTTTGGGGGTCCAGGCAATCCCTAAGCACCAAAGCCCTAAACCGTACACTGCCCCCCTAAGCCCTAAACCCTAATGCCTCAACCCTCATCCCTACCCGGGACTCTATTCACCTACAGCTTAGTTACTACTACTACCCTGAATTAGTAGGTAGAAACCCGTACAACTGTAGGTAAAGAGTGTCCCAGCTAGACCCTAGTTCCCAAACCTCCTAAACCCTGAACCCTAAACCCTAGTTAAACCCTAAACCCTAAACCCTATAAACCCTATACCCTAAACTAAACCCTATACCCCAAAAGAGTGTCCCAGGTACACCCAGCCTAATCCCCAATCCTCCTCAACCCTGAACCCTAAACCCTAAGCCCTAAACCCTAAACCCCAAACCCCAATCCCATCGACCTACACCGGAAGGCCCGGTGGAGGCGCCGGGGCGGCTTCGCTGAGTCAGATGGTGCAGAGAGGCCTTGTGTTGGCAAGATGAATATAGTAGGATTTAAGGTTTAAGGTTTAGGGTTCAGGGTTTAGGGTTTCGGGTTTAGGGTTTGGGATTTAGGCTCAGGGCCCAGGGTGTCGCGTTTAGGGGTCGGGGGCAGGGCTTTGTAGGGTTCAGATACATTTTGTATGTATCGACTGCCACTTCAGGGGTTTAGGGAACGTTCAAGGCACAAAGTGCTTGCAGGGTAAACCGTGGTGGCCCTACGGCTGCAAGGACTCTCAAAGTGCAATTCTTTGGGGCAGGCTATGAACAAACGGCTTCTACGTCCTTAATGGGGATTAGAATACCCCCCAATTACAATCCTTATTAAGGACTGTTAGTATAAGGGGGAACATCCCAACTCTACACCCCTGAAACAAAGCAGGGCACCCTTTTCCTTCCTAGGTTCTTTCAAGGAAGTTCGGCTTCGGGCTTCAGGGTTTTTTGTGGCAATTTACGACTCTGTCGTCGTGTTCCCCAAGATTTTTTGAGGATGATAGCATTTTGGGTACATTCGGGATAGCTTTTCTTCAATCGGCACATTAAGCCCTCAACCCTGCAATCCCATCTGCACGTTAAGCCCTAACCCTACAATCCCATCTGCACATTAAGCCCTATACCCTACAATCCCGAAACTCTTCTCAGTGTCTAGACAGTCATGGAGGGGCTTGGGCCTTAGGTTTACGAAACAGGATTCATCATGCCGTTACTGGTGGATATAAGTAGGGTTCCTCAGAAATATCGATGAGTCCATATATATATATATATATATATATATGTCTATATATATATATATATATATTGGGTGTGCTTTTGGAATTTCTGGTATAATCACCCTACTTCACATGGTGGGCCCCTGCAGAGGAGCTCTGCAAAATGGGCTTTGGCTTCGCGGGCGGTGTGCTGGGGCGTTGCCTTCATCGCCGTGGAGTTTCCCTTTCGCCACGGGGATGGCAAGTTGTCATATGGTGTTTTCTGAAAACTGGGATACCTTCTTGGGGTCCTGATTACAAGGGAATCCTACTATTTGGGGTCTAGCTTAGGGGTTCCCCTGTTTTCGTAAACCCCATATGCTGTGATCTTGCCTTAGAGCAGAAGAAGCACCTTACGCACGGGGAGTATTGGTAATTATTTATAGGCTCCTGTTTTCGTAAGTCACTACTTCTTTGGGCCCTAACCCTAAAACCCTAAACCCTTAAGATCCTGAGTACCTACCATGTGGGTACATGATGCTAAACCCTACAATCCCTATACCCTACACCGTAAACCCTAAGCCCTAAACCCTAAGCCCTAAACCCTCAGCCCTAAACCCTAAACCCTAAACCCTAAACCCTAAACCCTAAACCCTAAACCTTAAACCCTAAACCCTAAACCCTAAACCCTAAACCCTAAACCCTCAACCCTGCCCGCGCAGCTGAGGGAAGTGGGGCTTTGAGACCTTCACAACCTTTACACTCTGGCAGCTTGCCTCAGAGGGTTTAGGGTTGAGGGTTTAAAGTTCAGGGGTTCAGGGTTTAGGGGGGTTTATTTAGGGTTTAGGGTCTAGGGTTTCGGGGTTTAGGGTTTAGGGTTTAGGGTTTAGGGTTTATGGTTTAGGGTTCAGGGTTTAGGGGGTTTAGGGAGAGCGGTACCCAGAAGATCGGCACTTAGGGTGGTTTGGGGGGTCAGGGTTTCAAAAGGCTTAGGGTTTAGGGCCGCGCGCCCTTTGATGTGAGACCCAGGCCTCCCCACACCTAAGGACTATTGAGTCCAGAGGGGCTCTTTGGGGCTTCAGTAAGTTACTGGAACCCAGAGTAGGCCCTTATTTCATTATTTAGGGTTTTAGGTTCCCTTAGAACCACTTTAAACCAAAAAGGGCACCTTTTTATTCCTAAGTTCGTTCAGTGAGCTGCTAGGCCCTTATTTCGTTATTTAGGGTTTTGGGGTTCCCTTATCGCCACTTTAAGCCAAAAAGGGCACCTTTTTATTCCTAGGTTACTCAAGGGTCTTTGGGGCTTAAGTAAGTTCGGTGTTTTGGTCTTTGGAGTGTCGGTGCTGCTGGGGTGAGGGCCCTGCGCTTTGGGAGGTGGGTGTGGGGCCTATCGAACATTTACACCGAAAGACCAGCACCCCACACCCGGCCGGAAACCACAAAGCTTTAGGGTTTGAGTTAACCCTGAACCCCAAGCCCTGAACCTCTCCAGGACCTGGCTTAACATGTTCATCTACTTCTCGCTGATGCTCTTGAAGAGCCTCTACGACTTCTGCCGAGGCGCCTGGCAGCACCACTTCTTTCGAGGGAGCTTAGGCTCTGAAGGGTTTAGGGTTTAGGGTTTAGGGTTTGGGGTTTGGGGTTTAGGGTTTAGGGGGCTTTGAGGCCTTAAACCCTTAGCCTTCAGCAGAGGGTTTTCCTGTCATTCAGGTTTTTTTGTTTTTTTTCCGCGCGTCCGGGGTCGAGGACTCTAAGTGGCGGGTTGGGGGAGTTGGGGTGTTGAGGGGTTTCGGAATGAGAGATCCCTTCAAACTTTAAAGAATACTACGGGTTTAGGGTTTAGAGCTTAGGGCTTAAGATTTCTCAGGGTTAAGGGTCAGGGTTGCTGGGAAACACGAGTTTAGAGCGTAGGCTGTCATGCGAGGTACTGCTCAGCAGGCTCTGGGAAAAGCCTCGCCGGCCCCCACGTGCAAGAAAAGCACACATCCTGATTGAAGAGGGCCCGAACCCCACACTAAACTACCCTAAACCCTAAACCCTAAACCCTAAACCCTAAACCCTATACATTCTACTATTCTACTTCCACGGGCCCCCTACGTCACCCCAAGCGCCTTCTTCAGGCTCCAAGAGTGCAGCCAGCACGCGCAGCGGCATGCTGCTGTGGTGCCGGGCCTGCCAAGAGAAAGCCTGCAGACTTCCAAGCAAGGGTTTAGGGTTTAGGGTTTAGGGTTTAGGGTTTAGGGTTGAGGGTTGAGGGTTGAGGGTTTAGGGTTTAGGGTTTAGGGGGGTTTAGGGTGTAGGGTTTACGGTTTAGGGTTTAGGGTTTCGGGTTTAGGGCTTAGGGCTTAGGGCTTAGGGTTTCGGCTTAGGTTTTTTTTTGAGACCTAGGACACGGAGACCCTAAGACCCAAGTCCGCAGCCCCAAACCCCGAGTCCCTAAACCTCAAGCCGCAAACCCTGTACTCCGCGCCCCTTGACAAGCCCCAAAACCCCAAGACCCCGAAACCCCAAAACCCTAAGACCCCAAGACCTCAGAACCCCCACACAAACCCCCAAAACCCAAAAAAACCCAAAACCCCAAAACCCCAAAACCCCAAAAACCCAAAAACCCAAAAACCCAAGACCCAGAAGCCCCTAACCTTGAACCCTAACCCTAAACCCCAAACCCCACACCCCAAACCCCAAACCCCAAACCCTAAACCCTAAACCCTAAACCCTAAACCCTAAACCAGGTTCGAGGTTCTCTATGGCATGGCATGGCTCGTCGATGCTCCTTGGCAAGGAAGGACGACACTGTTTTTTTTTTCAGCGTTTGGGCCAAAATACCCCTTCGCCCGTAGGGGGTGGATGGGTGGATGGGTGGAGGGGTGGAGGGGTGGAGGGGTGGAAGAGGGAGGGGGGGGTCTGGGGTGGAGGGAGGAGGGGTCTGGGGTGGAGCCTGAGGTGGAGGGGTGGAGGGCTATTCCGCTTGTTTAAAATGGGCTTGGCGGCCCGCTCGAAACCCCGACGGAGGTAGTATGTAAATATCTGTTGAGATATTTAAAAATCCGCATGTTTAAAACGCATCACCGTAGGGCTCCGGGTTGACGCATACCTTGCCTTAGGGTTTGGGTTTGAGGTTTAGGAAAGGCTCCTACGTAGTACCTTTTGGGGTAGTCTCCTGCCCCACCTGTCTTCTAAACAGCCGGAACCCCTCAGCAAGCACACCCGAGCAGTTTCCTGGTGATCAGCTTCTCCCATCCTCACTGTCGTAACACTTGCTTCGCCTTTAGTCGAACTTTAAACTTGTTGGGTTTCCTTATTTGGTAGGAATATTAAAGTTAAACCTTGTTTTGTGTTTTTTTTTTATTCTTTTTGGGTTTCCTTTTTTTGCAGGAACATTAAAGTTTAGCCCTTTTTTCCCCTTTGGTTATTGGCGAAGTAAGAACGTGGAGGCCATGTATTGGCTGGTCTTGGTGCCCTACGCCGCCTTCAAAGAGGCGTGTCATGCCAAGCCCCAGCAGCCAAACCCTAAGCGCTAGACCCTAAGCCCTAAACCCTTCACAAACCCTAAACCCTAAACCCTAAACCCTAAACCCTAAACCCTAAACCCTAAACCCTATACCCTAATCCCTAAACCCTAGACCCTGACCCTAGCGGCTAGTACAGATGGTTGTCCAAGAACCCTAGCGGTTGTCCAAGCAATGACCTACAAGGTTTAGATTCCTGTTGGAACACGGCTTCCCCCAGCATTTTTGGACACGCAACGTTGTTTGAGTGAGCTTTGTCTGGGACAGTTCTGGATCGTTCCTGAGGGAAAGAATGTAGGAACTCCCAAAACAGGCACGTGGAAGGTATATGGTATGCACACCTTTACTATTTATGTACTATATTCCTAGTATTCCAATTTTTAAAGTCCCTATGTTCTTTCTTTCAGTTCAAGATCTAGAGTTCGGGGTTCTGCGTTTCGTTGCCACCTCCCACAATCCGCGTGCTGTCTGAACCCGCCTGGATTCCTAGATTTGGGGTTCAGGCTTTAGGGTCAACCCTAAACCCTAATTAAACCCTATACCCTAAACCCTAAACTCTAACCTGGATAAACCCCAAACACGCCTCTGGGCCTGCCAGGGAGACGGGGGCTTGGCCCGTCGCACGACGCGGCTGACCCTGGGCTCGGCTTTGGGACTTCCGGTTGAGGGTTTAGGGGTTTGGGGTGTTCAGGGGTTTAGGGTTTAGGGTTTAGGGTTTAGCCCTAATACTAAACCCCAAGCCTTAAACCCTAAACCCTAAACCCTAAACCCTGAACCCTTCAGGGTTTAGGAAGACTCAACCTCACTTCCCAGGTTGAGGGTGTTGCTTCAGGAGGTCTCTATGTCATGCTTGCAAGTAGAATTAGTATGGGTGCCATAATGCGTCCTCTGATGTCTCAGGTTACACGTCCCTTTAGGAAGGGGTATGGCTTAGGGTTTAGGGTTATAATCTAGGCATTTGATGCATGTGTGTGCATATACATATACACATATATATATATATATATTTATATAGAGGCATATGTTTTCCATAGTTTGTATCGGTTTTCTCTAGGATCAGATAGAGCTTGTACAGGGTTTGGAGGGTCATCTGGAGAATATGCCTGCCCAGGAATATCTACCTCCATAGCCTCAACGCTGCAGCCTGAGAGTTTCCGCCGGGGGTGGGGAGGATGGTGGGTTGGGAGGGGGAGGGGGCGGGGGGTTCGATTTATTAGGGTATTGGTGTTGAGAGAGCTTTGGGATGTACAGATTTTGTTGTGTGTGGGGGAGGGGTAGTTGGGGGCTGTTCGGACTTCTTCAGGGCCGCAGTTTTTGGCCTTTTATTTTGGAGCAGGGCGTTTGGGGCCTTGGTGCCCCTTTCAAAGGGCGCCTGAGGCCAAAGATGCGCAAATGCGCAACTGTCCCCCTGGGCCGGTTGCCCCGATTTTCTCTCCAAGAGCTGCCGTGAGTTTTTGCAAGAAGCCCCGGTTATGTCACTGGGTTTTGGAGTGCTGTACTTTAATACTTGTTGTGGTTCTGGGTTCCTATCATAGCTGCTCATACCTAAACAGTATACTCCAAAGTAGGGAGTCAGTTCTCTTTAACTAGATGCCTCCACGTGCTGCTGTGTCTAATCTCCACCGCTACCAGACGTACCCTTTGCGCCCTTTTTTGGGTTTTGGGTTCCCTTATAGAAGCATAAAATCATGGTTTCTGGGCTACCAAGACTTGCTGAGGTCGTGCTCATGAATCTGGAGCTGGCCACGATGAGCTGCGGCGTGAGCATCTACCACTCCATCTTTGGGCACCTTGGGTACGCGCTGAACCCTAAACCCTAAACCCCAATTAAACCTTATAAGCCCAGCAAGCCCTACTTCAACCCTAAAACCCTGAAGTCCCGAGGCCCAGAGTCTTAGGGTAGTTTCAGTCCTTACTATCAGCCCTTATAAGGGGACCCCTTATAATATATACCCCTTATATACCCTATACTACCGAAAGGCCCATACTTCAGAACCCTTTGAACATTCCCCAGCCCAAGGATCAAGGGACTAGAGGAGGGATCCTTATAAGGGACCTTAGCGGTTATTTAGGTACATATAGGGACTATATGAGGTATATATAGGGGTTTATATATATATATACATATATATAGGTTATTTAGAGGAACGAGAATAAGAGTCCCTTCTACGGGTCCCTCCTTATACCCCCTGAATCTATAAGGATCTACTTCGGCGTCGTCTACATTGGCTTCAACTGGATCGTGCACGAGGTCAAGGGGGGCTGGACGTACTTCTTCCTCGCGGCCCGGCGGCATTCTGTGTCTAGGATGGGGAGGCCCTTTTTTCCTCTTTTAGGGTCGGGGTTCCCTTGTAATGCTCTTAATACCAAAAAGGGTACCCTTTTTTCCTAGGTTACTCTCGGGCCTAGGTGTGCTTTTGGGTGTAGACATTTGAGGCGTTGACTTCAGGTTCGGGTCGAGGTCAAGGGGGGCTGGACGTACTTCTTCCCCACGGCCCCAGCGGGATTCTGTGTAGACATTGGGGCGTTAACTTCAGGTTCGGGTAGTGTTCTAAGTTAGGGCCCCATTCTGGATGCCTTTTCCTTAACAGGGCTCTTGGCCCAAAGCACCGGTCCACCGCCGATGACTGAGTAAGGACTTTACTCGGGACGACGCCACACTGTACCTTCTCCTGCTGCAAGTCGTGGTGGCAGCTTGGCTAGATCCTGGGTAGATCCTTGCTGAAATGCTAAAGCCGACTTTTTCCCTCAAATCCCAAGTGGCCTAGGTTTAGTCGTCAGAACCTGAATAATACTTTGGTGTAGGCTCTTACTGTAAAGCCCCTTATAGAATTCTTAGGCAACCTACAAAAAGGTAGGTCTCGCTCGGGTTCTCAAGGTAGGCGATTTCTTGGGGTTTAGGTCCTACAGCGGCATAAGGGCCCATATTTTAGAGCCCCTAAACCCTAAGCCATAAAACCCTAGGCCCTAAACCCTAAACCCTAAACCCTAAGCCCTAAACCCTAAACCCTAAATCCTAAACCCTAAACCCTAAACCCCCCCCTCAAGAACCGGAACAAAGAGGTTCTCTCCTTCGGCATCGGCGCGCTACTGTCGCAGTGCATGGCCCGCATCCAGAGAAGGCGCGCTTGGAGGTTATAGGGCTTCGGGTTTAGGGTTTAGGGTTTAGGTTCTTTTTTAAATAAGGGGTTCTCTTTTAATCCCCATGCAGCAAGCAAGGGCGCCCGTTTGTTCCCAAAAAGGACGCTGCTGCTTCACCTTTCGAGGTCCAGGGGCGAGGAAGGCTGATGCGACCCCCGAAGCTCTAATCACCCCAAACCCCTAAACCCCAAACCCTAAACCCCAAACCCCAAACCCCAAACCCCAAACCCCAAACCCCAAACCCCAAACCCCAATTCGACTCCCCTGATGAGGCGCTACACGCCAACTCCAGCGTGCAAAGGCAGCCCCAACGGTACGGATGAGGAGGATGTTTACAGGCCTGCGTCTTTTAGGGTTTAGGGTTTAGGGCTTAGGGTTTAGGGTTTAGGGTTTAGGGTTTAGGGTTGTTTACAGGCCTGGTTTGTTTTAAGGCTTTGTAGTAGGTTTTATAAGGTTTGTAGGGCTTTCAGAGTTTATTGGGGTTTCCACGGGGTTTTGGGCTTTTAGAGGTTTTTGGAGGTTTTTAGGTTTTTCAATTCTTTTTTTCGGCTTTTAGAGGGTTGATACGGTTTGTATGGTTTGCAGGGTTCAAAGGTTTACAGGGTTCATAGGGTTGCTGGGTTTGCATGGTATGGTTTAGGAGTTCCGTCATAACCCCGAAAGCCACTCGCGTCCAATCGCAACTGAAGCTCCAAACCCTAAATCCGATCAACCCTGTAAACCCTGTAAGCTTCAAGCCCTAGAACAACCCTACAAGGCCAACAAAACCCCATGGACCCTTTTAAGCCTGTAGACCCCACAGACACCTATACTCTATAAACCCCACAAACATTACAAACACTGTAATCCCTGGCAATCCTAGTACACCCTACAAACTCTGTAAACCACCCTAAACCCTAAACCCTAAACCCTAAACCCTAAACCCTACTCTGTAAACCCTATAAATCACAGAGGAGGCCATCCAAAATATGCAAGAAGCTGCAAGCCAGAGTGCAGGAACTTGAATATGAACCCTCCAGTCCTACAAGCCTTACAAACCCTAAGACTGCAAAACCCCGAAACCCTAACCCCCCCCCCAAAAAAAAACAAAAACACTCTATACCCTATAAATCTTAAACCCTAAACCCCCCAAAATACACTCCCTAAACTCTAAACCCTAGACCCTAAACTCTAAACCCTAAACTCCTGTACAGCCAGGGGTCTGGAAATGCAGCCTGTGCAGCCGGCTTCCCCTGTGGGTGCATCAGGCGGAGACGGGTTTATGGTGCGTAAGGCATTTAGGTGGGTTTGGGGTTTAGGGTTTAGAGTTGAGGGGTTTAGGGTGGAGGGTTCAGGGTTTGTTGCTGAAGGGTTGCTGTGGTTTAGGGGGTAGCTAGTTTACCGGGCAAGTTTGTTCCGTGCTGGGGCCTTGTCGTTGCCGGAGGATCTTAAGGTCGTCAGCACCTTCGACCCTCCAGCCCTAAGCCCTAAACCCTAATCCCTAAACCCTAAACCCTAAACCCTCAACCCTAAACCCTAAACCCTAAACCCAAAACGACTCGGACGCTTTAGGGTGGTACGGCTTAAGGCTGCGCCGTCTTCTTGTCAGGTTGCTGCCACGCGCAGTGGCTAGACATCAACACCTTTGGGGGGCTGAGTGAACCCTAGAACTTGGGCCCAAGGAGTTTCAAGTTTTGCGGGTTCAGGGTTTTCTTTTACATGCTTAAGGCTTAGGTTCGCAAATTGGGGGTTTACGGTCCACTGAAGATGAGCAGCTTCCGCAGTTTCAAGCCTCGAGGTGCTTTCAGGGTTGGCTTTTTAGCTTCATAAAGTACCTAGGCCAGGCCCCCAAGGTAGTTGCTGTGTAGGTGTCTAAGTATCTGCTAGATATAGGTTAGGGTTTAGGGTTTAGGGTTTAGGGTTTAGGGTTTAGGGTTTAGGGTTTAGGGTTTAGGGTTTAGGGTTTAGGGTTTAGGGTTTAGGGTTTAGGGTTTAGGGTTTAGGGTTTAGGGTTTAGGGTTTAGGAAATCCTGTAGGATTCTAGGCCCCAAGCTTCTCCTGCCAGGATCCGCAGCATGACGGGCACCCGGGCAGCGAGCGGGCTATGCATGGATCACTAGAGAGCTCGCCCATAGGGCGCTGAGCACCCTAAACCCTAAACCCTAAACCCTAAACCCTAAACCCTAAACCCTAAACCCTAAACCCTAAACCCTAAACAATAACTCAGACTGGGTTCACCAAAGGAGCCCTGGCTTCCTTTCAAGCCCTGAACCCTAAGAGGTCTCTACTTGGGTTACAGGGGAACCTGAACCCTAGAGCACTTTAAGTTGGGATGTTGCTCCTATAAACTAACAGTCCCTTATCAGGGATTTTAGCAACCCCTATTATCATCCCCATTAAGGGCTGTTAGTATAAGGGGGAACATCTCAACCTTCAACCCTCAACCCTCAACCCTAAACCCTAAACCCTAAAGCCCTTTAAGCAACAATCTCGCTGGGGAACCCAGCTGAGAGGATTTATTTTCCGGGGAGATTGTCCCCGGAGCTGCCGCGGCAACAGGCTCAAGAGACTCCCAGACGCTCTGATGGACCTATTAAACCCTAAATCTTAAACCCTAAACCCTAAACCCTAAACCCTAAACCCTAAACCCTAAACCCTAAACCCTAAACCGTTCATTTGGTCTTCAAGGTTCGGGCTTAGGGACTTGGGCTTCCTGAAGAGGATTTGTGTCGAGGCCTTTTGCTCGCAAGGTTTAGGGGTTGGGGGTTTAGGGTTTAGGGTTTAGGGTTTAGGGTTAGGGTTTAGGGTTTGGGGTTTAGGGTTCAGGGTTCAGGGTTTAGGGTTTAGGGTCTAGGGTTTTGGGGTTTGGGGTAGGGTAAACCCTACCCTCCCGACCCCCCACCCCCAAGGTTCATCAAAGCAGGTCTCCAAGAGACGCGCGGATGTCGCGAGCTTCGCGAAAATGGTGCCTGTTTGGGGCTTCTGTGGCTTGTAGGGTTTGGGGTTTGGGGGGCGGCCATTCGATGCCATGTCCAGCCTACTGTAAGCCCTAAAGCCCGAAACCTTCGTTCTCGAACCAACCCTTTTCCCCCGGTGGCATCCTTCCCCAAGACTTCTTAAGTCTTAGAAAGATGCCATGTCCAGCCGAAGCCCTAAAGCCCGAAATCTTCATTCTCGAACCACATCATAAGCATCTAGGATCTGGGAGAGTTTGGGGTTTCGATGGCAACCTTAAACCCTAAACCCCAAACCCCAAACCCTAAACCCTAAACCCCAAAGCCCTCCATCCAGCCTGGGAGCCGAACCCTGCAGCCCGAAATCCTACGATGTATGTTAGGGTTTAGGGTTTCGGGTTTCGGGTTTCGGGTTTAGGGTATGGGGTTTAGGGTTTAGGGTCTGTGTTTTCCTTCCTTGCTTTGAGATATCATGAGGTGAGCTAGGGACACAGTGTCAAATGCTGTAAAAAAATCGGGATAGTGATTAAGTGCTTGAAAATCCAAAGCCCCCAGCCCTAAAGGGGCCAACCGTGCCGGACTCCCCCACCCTAAACCGTAAACCCTAAACCTTAATCCCTAATCCCTTTTCCCTAAACCCTCAGGATGGAGAACGAGAGTTCTGCGGCGCGTGCAGCGCTCTTCGCGTGGCCCGGGCCCCCAGTGCCAGAGGTCCGCTGCACATGCCTGAGGGGCTCAGGTACTTCGGGGACGAGGGGGAGCCCAAGATAGGGACAGAGTTGAGGGGCTTTAGGGTTTAGGGTTTAGTGTGTTCGTAACTTAGTATATACTTGGGCTTTTAGGAGGGAGACTTAGTATATACGTGTGCTTTTAAGAGGTTCTGTAAGGAAGTAAAAGTATAGTCGCCGGGGAGCCCAGCATCGGAGGGGTTCAAAAGGCGATCTGATGCCCTGTTAGCCCTGCAACCCTGAGCCCCACAACCCTAAAATTTAAAGACCCGAAGCACCCCAAGACCCTAAACCCCTAAACCCTAAACCCTCAATCCTAAATCCTAAAACCTAAACCTTGCGCAATAGCCCTAAGACACTGGAACCCTCAAAGCCCTAAGACACCAGAGCCCTCAAAGCCTGAAAAGCCCTCACAAGCCTTAGAGAAGCCCTCGGAGAAGCAGCAAACTTGGCCTACACCCTAAACCTAAAACCTTAAACCCTACACCCTCATGCACCCTGAGCCCTAAGCGCTAAACCCTAAACCCTAAACCCTAAACCCTAAACCCTAAACCCTAAAACCTAAAACCCTACCCTTCAGCCATCAAACTTGGCTGAGTCCAGGTTCCGCGTGCCGGGTGTCTACACTGGCCACACCGAGGCCTCTATGGCATGAGGTTTAGGGTTTAGGGTTTAGGGTTTAGGGTTTAGGGTTTAGGGTTTAGGGTTTAGGGTTTAGGGTTTAGGGTTTAGGGTTTAGGGTTTAGGGTCTAGGGTTTAGGGTTTAGGGTTTAGGGTTTAGGGTTTAGGGTTTAGGGTTTAGGGTGTGGAAGGAGGTTTCGGGCTTAGGGCCCCAAACAAGGCGCCTAATTGGGGGCCTTGATTTAAATCACGGCCTTTTGGGTACCCTAATTCATAAGACCCTGTATTGGCAACAGTTACCCCCAAAACACACAGTCTCCAAACACAGCAATTCCCTGAAGCCCAGCGAAACCCCAAAACAGCCTGAACCTTAAAGCTCGCAATCCCGGAACGCCCCACAGCCTAAACCACTAAAGCCTGAACCCTATCCAACAAAGTCGTCCTCAACCGAAAGCCCTATAGACCCTAAACTGAACCCTAAGCTCTAAACCCTAAACCCTAAGCCCATCCTAAGCCCTAAACCCTAAACTCCCTCCCCTCCCCCCAACAAAAAACAAATAAAAACAACAATAAGAGCCTAACCGCCCAAGGAGAATTTCGGCCCTGAGGGCCTCCGCCGCGCCGACGAGTTCCGCCGCTACGTGCGCCCACGCCTGCGGAAGGCTCTCCCGGATTTAGGGCCGTTTAGGGTTTAGGGCTTAGGGATCAGGGTACAGGGTACAGGGTGCAGGGTACAGGGTGCAGGGTACAGGGTGCAGGGTTCACAGGGCTTATTTTACTTGTGGTGTGTATAGGGCTGATTCGGGTTTGTTTAGGGTTTTACTAGGTTGAGATGGGGCCTATTTTGGGTTGTATAGGGTTGGCTGAGACGGCAGTGACCCCCTAAACCTGGTTCGGGGGTTTGGGGGGTCAGGGAACATGAAAGTTCGTGTCTTTTGAAGGGGCTCTCAGACTAACAGCTGTGGGGCTCTGGGGGCTTTGAGGTTTTCGTGGGTTCGGGTTCTCGGTGTGTTTGGGGTTTAGGGTTTAGGGTTTGGGTTTGGGGTTTAGGGTTAGGGTTTCGACTAGGATGGAGTCCCCGCATAAGGCCCCTAAAACCCACAGTATAAAGCGTGTGTGGGCCAACAAATCCGAAAACAAGAGTCCTTGGAGCCTTATAGGGAAAGCAAACAACAAGGCAGGCCATGTATTGCACGAAGGTCTTCGTCACTACCCTTGTGAGTCCCAAACCTCGAAAGTCTGCAACACGCCCGACAAAACTCGGGATCTCTATAAACCCCAAAACCTGGCTAACCCATAAACCCTGCAACCCCCATAAGCCATATAAAAGCCCGACAAGCCTAGTAAACCCTCATCCTCAACCCCCAACCCCGAACCCCAAACCTTAAACCCTAACCTAAACCCCAAACCCCAAACCCCAAACCCCAATCCGCAATCCTTCAACCCCAAACCCCTAAACCCTAAATCCTAAACCCCAAACCCTAAACCGTAAACCCTAGACCCTAAACCCCAAACCCCAAACCCTAAACCCCTGCAGGTGGTTGCCGAGCAGCGCCGGGTCTCCCCCGGGGCGACGGGATCCGCGGCGGAGGCGCCGAAGGGAGCTGGGCTGCCGCAATTTGTGAGCTTAGGGGATAAGGAGTAGCCCTAAACCCTAAACCCTAAACCCTAAGCCCTAAGCCCTAAGCCCTAAGCCCCAAACCCTAAACCCTAAACCCTAACCCTAAACCCAAACCCTAAGCGTCTTGCATTCTTGGGGGAGTTTGGGGCTTAGGGTCTTGGGGATTCTGGGCCCAAGTTTGTGTTGCAGATGGAATAGAAATGTCTATATATATAGATATATATATTTTATGTATTCAGAACTGTACTCATTTGACAGAAATTACCATGCAGAAAGACATCGCCAAGCCCCCCCCCCTCCACTCGGGCTCACCCGAAGCCACGAAGCCTTTTACCAACCTAAACCCTCAACTCTAAACCCTAAACCCTCGACCCTCAACCCTAAACCCCTAAACCCTCAACTACCCTAAGCCCTAAAACCTACATCCTAAACCATAAACCCCAAACCCTATAAACCCTAAACCCCAAACCCCGGAATCCTGCTTGCTAGGAGTCCTGGGGCTTCCTCCAAGGCCAGCCTTACAGGGGGGCGGCCTGGAACATCTGCTGCTGTTCTTTTGGGGCGGTTGCTTAGGGTTTAGGGTTTAGGGTTTAGGGCTAGGGTTCAGGGCTAGGGTTTAGGGAGCTGGCCTGGGGCATTTGCTGCTGTCCTTTTGGGGGTTACCGGGTTTAGGGTTTAGGGTTTTTAGGGCTTTAGGGCTTTAGGGCTTTAGGGCTTTTCGGATTAAGGTTTTAGGGTTTTAGGGTTTTAGGGTCTTAGGGTCTTAGGGTCTTAGGGTCTTAGGGTTTTAGGGTTTTAGGGTTTAGGGTTTGGGGGTTGGGGGTTTAGGGGTTTCGGGTTTTGTTATGGGTTTAAGCTTATTTTCTTTTTGAGATTTTAGTGTCTTAAGGTTAAGGGTTTTGGGACATTTTCCTTTGGAAGTTCGAGTTGTTTAGGATGTTGCTGTACCCCCTTTTGGGTTCAAGGTTGAGGGGGGGGGCCCGAGGTTTAGGGTTCAGGGTTCAGGGTCGTTCCCAGAAAGCCAAACGCCAGATACCTAAGCAAAATTCCTGATTTTATCATCAGAGGTGTATTCCCAAACCGTCGGGTTGACAAAATGTCGTTCGGCCTGGGACTAGAGATGAGCCTCGTCAAGCTGGTCATGGCGATGCCGCC